TATGGGAACGTTAAAATATCAATATTTTATTTAATCTAGACGACTTATCAATATTTTATTTAATCTAGACGACTTACGGATAAGTCGTCTCAGGTTAGTTTTGCAATTCAAAAATAAAACTTAAATTTTTAACTTCTCCAGACGACTTAATTTGAAGTCGTCCGATCAGACGACTTATGTTAAAGTCGTCCAGGATAAGCAAGGTTTGACCAGAAAACTCGAAAAATATTCCGGACGACTTTGATTATCCTGGACGACTTTAACATAAGTCATTTTGGAAACAGGATGGAAACTTGCGTTTATGATTTGAAAATTTGCGATTCTGATCGGATACACGTAAGAATAACACTTTGTCATTTTTGATATTAGTGATTACATGTTTATTAACTTGTATATTAATATTATTTTAATATTAGTTATCATTTTATTATAATGGTTTGATTTGGAATGAAGTCGGCCCGTAATTTTATCGAATAATAACATGTGTTAGTTTTCTAATTATTAATTAATTTTTTTATAAAATGTATCAAGAAAAATAACACTTATATTATTTAATTTTCTCACTTAAGTAATTCAAACAAAAAGTTAAATTTTAATTAATCATATATATATATACGTTTCTAAAAGTTTTTATTTCTAACTTTTATGAAAATCACGTTTCAAAACGTTTTGTTTCCACATATCCGTTTACTATTTCATGCAACCTAAGACCATCCCCACTAGGTCTGGGCATTCGGGTACCCGTTCGGGTACGGGTCGGTTCTTTCGGGTATCGGGTTTTTCGGGTTTTGAATTCAGGATCCATTCGGGTATTATAAATTTACGGGTCGGGTTCGAGTCGGATCCTCTCCGGTCCGGGTGGGTTCGGATCTGATGCAAAAGACCCTGAAAATAACCAAATAACCAAAGTATCTGAAACGGGTTCGGTTATTTGTACCCAAAGTAACCATATTACCCGATATGATTCGGATATTTTGTATCCAAACTACCTATTTTACCTAGATATAACCAAAAATACTCGTTAGAGACAATTTTGTTTGGGTATTTTATATCAAAAAAAATAATATTTTATCTAAAAATATTCAAAATAACTAACAAATTTAATTTACAATTGTAATTTTAAATTATTAAAATAATTATAAGTATATTTATAAATAATTTTTCATATACATATTTACATTTCGGATATTTCGGGTACTCATTCGGTTCTCGGTTTGGGTCGGGTTCGGTACCGGTTCTTCGGATATAGCAATTTAGGACCCATTCGGTTATTTAGCCCGGGTCCGATCGGGTTCGGGTCGGCTTCAGGTCGGTTCTTCGGGTCCAGATATTTTGCCAGCCCTAATCCCCACTAGGGGTTTTTATGGGGTTCAAGGGGGGGGATTACACAGTTTTCAAGGGAAAGAGAGTGAACCTGAAGCTCTGGGGTTCATCTGCAAGAGGCGGTTCATGGACTGTAGCGTGGGCCCCATGACACGTGGCGATGCGCCATTGGTCAATTTGTTTGTTTATTTTTTTGAAAAAATAAACGAAAAAAATAAAATAAAAATAAAAATAAAAAATCTAGGTGGCGAACTCCACCTGAGTATCACTGATGGAGATGCCCTAACTATAGACAGACAGATAATGTATTATAAATATATAAGATCAATCCGTTTATTGACATCAATGCGTACTGTGTAATTTGTGGGATCGATGATACCTATTTGGAAACTTTTATGTAACATAAATGGCCAGAATATTTTGATTTTATAATAGAATATTTTGATTTTATTGGGTTTTCTAGTAGCACAATCTGTAATATTAATAGAGAATTAAGGGAGTGTCGATTTATATTAACCAACAATCTTGATTTATACTCGAAGAAAAGAAAACCCCTTCAACGTTCGGCTTCATGGATTCTCCAACAAACCCTAGTTCCCTCCACGCCAGTTCGATAATTTCATTGCTCCTTTCGTTTCCAGATTCCTCTCCGATCTCCACCTCCCACTCATTTCATCGAGAACTCGAAAAAGCTCTCGCTTCTGCCTCCGATGACGCCTCCGTTCAGGAACGTCTCGTGGATAGAACACTCCAACTCACGTCTCTTCTTCAAGAATCCACTAAACGATCTTTCCGCAAGCGAGCTAACACTCACAACTCCAGTTCCTGGTTCTTCCTTCCCGAACTCACCATCAAGGTAAATTAAATTGATTAGAGCTTTCAAGAGATGGAGTTTGATGATATGTTATCTTAGGTTTTTTCGATGCTTGATACAAAAGTCTCTAATGCATGCGGCTGCGTGCTGCACCATGTTCAACAAATGTGCGATGGACCGTTTTTCTTACGCTCACGTCGACTTGACTACTGCTACTAGCAGCCATGTTGACAGTAAGGTTGTGTGTAACTTGATCCATAGGGCTGGAAAAGAACTCAGGTAATCTTAATGTATATAACTTACTACATTCATTTGAGATCCTTTTGTTAGTTTTTGTATTTGAATATACTTGTAGATCCCTCAAGCTTGGCACCCTTGCTCGCCCATATCCGTTTGGTTGTGATCCATCTTTGGTTTACGGACCTTTTCTTTCCACACTATCCCGTAATCCTGTTTTTATTGGGTATGGCTTGCTTGATTATGGTTATTCCCAATTACATTTTTTTTTTTTGATCACAAGTTATTCCCAATCACATTCTCATTTAATCTTCTTCTTATTTGGTATTATCATTCAAACAGGAGTCGCTTGAAAAGACTAGGGCCCTGTTCGTTTCTCCATTCAAATGATCCATTCGAATGGAAATGAACTTTCTGTTCGTTTAGACATAAAAAGAACAACTCATTCGGATGGATCATTTGAATGATTTTTAAAAAATTAGGTTTAATTTCAAAAACCAGTTGACTGAACCGAATTGAATCATTTGACTGGAACTGGTTCAGTCAAAATATCAAAATGTCGATTTTGCCATGAAATCACCATAGCTTGAGCTCTCTCTCTGCCGTGCCTCCTCTCCGCTGCGTCTCCTCTCCGTCTGTCTCTCACCGAAGCTCGCTCTCTGCCTCTCTCTCTCTCACCGAAGCTCGCTCTCTGCCTCTCTCTCTCTCACCGAAGCTCGCTCTCTGCCTCTCTCTCTCTCACCGAAGCTCGCTCTCTGCCTCTCTCTCTCACCGAAGCTCGCTCTCTGCCTCTCTCTCTCTCACCGAAGCTCGCTCTCTGCCTCTCTCTCAGGTATATCTCTCTGCCTCTCTCTCTCAAGTATACCTGAGATGGGTTTTGATTGCTCTCTGATTTGCTTATCACATAGCTTGTGAATCTTAAGGAAGAGATCTAGTGATGGGTTTGATTGTTCTCTGATTTGCTTAGCTAAGCTTAGCTTATATCACTAGTATAATCTCATAGCTTGTGATTCTGTTGTGGGTTTTGTGTGTACATATAAAGAAGATGAAGCTGACATTGAGTGGTGTAGTTCTTGTTTTATATATACATGGATGGTACTTGTACAGTGTAGATATGTAGCTTTTATAATGTAGCTTTTATGTGCCTATGTTTCTTGTTTATTAATTGATTTTACATGGTAATGCAGGGTTCAAGTGATTATGTTTCTTTTAAGTCTCTCTTCTCCATTGTGTAGTTATATCCTGTTCTTGTGTTTATTAGAATCAGTATGTTCTTGTAGCTTTACTAGAATCGGTCTTGTGTTTGAGATGATGATTCATGTTCGGTAGATCACACGTTGAATTGTTTTGCATGTGTTTGTCTGTGTATCGTTGAGTTAATTCATGTTCTGAAGATCACCACTTTTAAGTTTAAGTAAGCAAATGAATGTGTTAAGTTAACGTGAGTGCTCTTATTGATAACGTAGTGATAAAAGTTGTGAATTGTGATGTTGTATACGCTGAGCTTTCTTTGTTTAGTTAGGTTAGTATTTACTCTTTTTAATTGAGTGTTTATGTGCCAGGTTTCATGTAGTCTTGTTGTTGCTGGAATAGTGTTGAACTTTCTTATAAGCTGAAAATGCATTTTTATGGCAGGTTGAATCTTAGGAAAGCTTGGACTGTGGGAGGTCTTACATATAACATTGTTTTTCATCTATTGTGAAAGTTACTTGGACCGCAAGTCATCCTTTAAATTTTAGTTTTATAAGACTTGAGTTTCTACTTTGTGTTTCTACTTTTAATGTTTAGAAGTTTATTCAAATTTGAGTTTGCACTTTGAGTTTTATTAGAAGCTATAAATTTTAATGCAATTTAAATAAAGGAGTGAATGAATATATGATTTTTTATAAATTTATGTGAAATAAAAAATTATAAATTTATATGAAATAAAACTTTATAAATGTAAAAATGAGAATTTTAAAATAGTTTTAGTGTAAATATATTTTAGACTAAATAATATTCATTAGTAAAGTTAAAATTAATATCAAACATGTGATTAAATCAATATAAGGGTACATTTGTAATTTGTTTATCAAACTCATTTGAATGGAAATAAAAAACAAGAAACAAACATAAGCTTCATTCAAATGGTTCATTTAAATGATCCATTCGAATGGAAAAACGAACAACCTCTAAAATGGAGCTGAGCCATTTGGATGGATCACATAGATGGATCAGCTGAATGGAGTTTACAAATGGACAAACGAACAGGGCCTAGGGCTTTATAATATCAGATGGATGAACGGTAGCTCCTCATTCGAGGTGTTGTCAGTTTGTTCGCATCTCACTGATCTGAGGATTGTTGGATTGTAAGTTAAGTTGTCTTAGAGAGTGCCTTGCTTATTTATTTTGGGACACGCAGCCCTCTTTTTTTTTTCTTTTTTTTTGCCCTATTCTGTGTTTCATGTGACAGGAACCAACGGTTTATGCATTTATTTAAGATTCTGTCAGAAAAAATGTCGTCTGATAGAGCACCTTTGCATAGAGACCTATCAACTCTTAGGTAAAGCTTCTCCGTTAATCCCCTTTTTGAGCTTATTGTTTTGCATACGTGCAGGCTTTCTCAAGCTTACCTAATGTGTGACAGATACCATAGACACTCAAAGAGGTTCAAACTTGATAGAGTTTGTGGCCAACTCCCCAAACTTAACTTCTCTAAGGCTCATTCGTTTTCGACTAACCGATGAACTGGCACGTATTCTTTCTCAGGTATGTCTTCTGTTCGATTTTACTGCTATTTTCTCTCTCTTTTATTGGATACCATCTATGCTTTTGCCCTGGATTTGAAAATTTAAGGGTTATAAACATTTTTAAGAACTTTTTTGTAAATTGTTTTAAAAAATAATGTAGGGATCTAAAACTATGTAAAAATGTAAAATAAAGTTTGGGAATCAAAACCAATTTTTCATTGGCTTGGCCCAAATACGTACTTGGCTTTTACAGAACTTCAATAGTATTTTGATGTTGTCCGCAGAGTTCTCGTACACTGAAGCACCTGAATTTGTCTAGATCGCCTACAATCAATGGTCGTTTTCTGAGGTGCAAATGCAAAACTGTTACAGTGCAATTTTCTCCAAATGTCCTTATTATTAAAATTCCACTTAACACGAAGATATTGTTGGTATAGGGATGTAAGAAATAGCTGCAAGGAGAGTCCACTCAAGACTCTAATAATGCGCAACTGCCTTAAACTAGAGGAGGTAAAAGACTCATAACAAGTTTTGATTTGTTTCATCACTCTTACTTGATCGATCCTTACATTGATGTTTCAGAAAGAAGTGTTGGAACTCTGCAACTCATTAATCAAAGGAAACTTCAAATCCATTCGGCACATTGTAAGTTTTCTATGCCTCTAATAAAAAGTATAAGCTTGGTTTACTCTAATAGTCGTCTTCTTGGTTTACTCTAATAGGATGTTTCAAATAACAGAGGCTTAGTTTCTGATGATGGCAAGAGATCTTACAAACCAAAGTAACTGATTGACCCTTCATTGTTTACATGTTACCAAACTCCTCACTGAGTTGTATTCCAAAAAAAAAAATTTGGTAAACTGTATTCCAAAAAATTTGTTGTGTGTTGTAGGCTTCCTCTAGAGAAGCTGAAAGAAGAAAGATCAGATGTCACACTTGTAGCGAATTTTCCATCACCATGGTTTCTTCTCCATCGATTACTATCATCGTTAAAAAATTTTGATTAAAGGAATTCAGAGAAATGAAAATGAGGGGGTTTGTGTCTTGTAAAATGCAGGTCAGTGAAGGATTATCCTGTCTGCCATGAAGAAGATGACGAAGAGCTTAGAGAGATAGAGATGATGGAAGATGGTGTGCCTCATGTGGGAACCGAGATTCACACTTGTCGATTTCCGTAAAATAAGGAAAGTTAGGAAAACCCTAATTTTCCAGAGGAATCGGATCTTTGCGAAAGCCAACGACAAGTAACCAAGAACGTGATTAATATGAATAAACTGAAAGATATAAAAAGAAAAATGAGATTGAGAGCAAGAAGGATTCTTATTCCGAATTCGCGTAAGAACGATTACAACGAAAGTTGCCTTAGCTGCGTGAGCCGTTGGCGAAATTCCTAGTTCTAGCAATCTAAGACTAAAACCCTAGTTGAGACGCAGCTCGATAACGAAAACGGAAAATTGCCTAAATGCTAAGTTTGGTGGTGAAAGTTCTGAAAACTCCTGTCCCAGCTTCTGCCCTATGCCTCCTCCTTATATACTCCTCCTTAGGCGGTTTTAGTCTTTCCATTTTGCTCGAAACTGAATATTTCGGGAACTTTCCATATCCGTCGATCCTTCCTTTTCTTCTGCGGAAATCTTCTATTTATCTTCAAACTTGTCTTTTATCTTCCGTCAGCGAGTAGACCGTCAAAGCGTTATCGTATCTTCGGGTTTGATTTCGTTAACGTCGCGAGATGGGTTTTTATCGTGTTTTAGGACCTTTCGGGCCGTTTTACAATAAAAACCGTTTTACGACTTTAACGAGACCGTTTCCTAATCCGATGCCGTTTTTTTACGATTCTCTCGACGTTTTTTATTAAAAACGCGTTTTTATACTTAACGAAGAATCACAGATAAATCGTATAGTTTAGGCGATGTTCGGCATTTTGATTAACCGTTACAGTTTTATACGATTTTTTCGAGTTCTTTTTGGGAAAACGGAGTTTTACGGTTTTTATCGTAAAACTCGAACGATAGGACGGATCGAGATGAAACGGGAGACATTTCGATCGTGATTCGGAATACGATCGTGTCGAAGGACGTATGCCTTGAATCAAGGATGTGGGAGATCGAGGCTCGGGATGGTCGGCTCGACGTATGGCGAGCTAGTTCAGCTTGGCTAGGTCGCCATATGGCGAACTAGGCGAAAAGAACCAGTGGGGCAAAGTCAGCACCTCTTAGTTCGTCCAATGGCGATCTAGCCGGGACGGGACTAGTTCGCCCACCGGCGAACTAAGCCGAGCTGGCTTAGTTCGCCCGTGGGCGAACTAGTCGAGACGGGACTAGTTCGCCCACCAGCGAACTAAGCCGAGCTGGCTTAGTTCGCCGCTGGGCGAACTAGTCGGGACGGGACTAGTTCGCCCAGCGGCGAAATAAGCCGAGCTGGCTTAGTTCGCCCGTGGGCGAACTAGTCGGGACGGGACTAGTTCGCCCACCGGCGAACTAAGCCAGGCCGGCTTAGTTCGCCGGTGGGCGAACTAGTCAAGTGGGACTAGTTCGGCCACCAGCGAACTAAGCCAAGCTGGCTTAGTTCGCCGGTGGGCGAACTAGTCATGGGCCTCCTAGTTCGCCCATCGGCGAACTAAGCCAGCTTGGCTTAGTTCGCCCATCGGCGAACTAAGCCAGCTTGGCTTAGTTCGCCGCTGGGCGAACTCGTTGCGACTAGTTCGCGTTTTACGGCTGTTTTGGTTTTTCGCGGTTTTGTAAAACGATCTTCGAGTTTTATAAAACGATCTTCGAGTTTTATAAAACGGCTTCTCGAGTTTTATAAAACGATCTTCGAGTTTTATAAAACGGCTTCTCGAGTTTTATAAAACGATCTTCGAGTTTTATAAAACAGCTTCTCGAGTTTTATAAAACGGCTTCTCGAATTTTATAAAACGATCCTCGAGTTTTATAAAACGATCTTCGAGTTTTATAAAACGGCTTCTCGAGTTTTATAAAATGATCCTCGAGTTTTATAAAACGATTCTCGAGTTTTATAAAACGATCCTCGAGTTTTATAAAACGATTCTCGAGTTTTATAAAACGATCCTCGGGTTTTATAAAACGATTCTCGAGTTTTATAAANTTTATAAAACGATCTTCGAGTTTTATAAAACGGCTTCTCGAGTTTTATAAAATGATCCTCGAGTTTTATAAAACGATTCTCGAGTTTTATAAAACGATCCTCGAGTTTTATAAAACGATTCTCGAGTTTTATAAAACGATCCTCGGGTTTTATAAAACGATTCTCGAGTTTTATAAAACGGTCCTCGAGTTTTATAAAATGATTCTTTTTATATTTCTGCGGGGAGTTTCGGCCGTTGATTCCGTCGTACCGATTTTGACCCCAATACCTCATCCTCGGACGAGGAATCCTCAGACGATGACCCCTCATCTTCGGACGATGACTTAGGATGATGATACAAACCAAGAGGACTTGGGACTTGGGAGAGGATCATGACGTTATTTTTTTTTCAAACACTGGAATTTCATTCATTTTTTAAGGAATGCATCATGACGTTTATCTTTGATGTTTTGTCTGAAGATGTTTTTTTGTTTTGAACGAGTAGTAATTTAAGTCTGTTGCTCTAATCAAAAATGTGCGGTGCTCTCTATCCTTATTGGGCCTATAAATGCGTCCTGAAAAGAAAAGCCCATATATCGTCCGACTGTTGCTGGCGGCTAAGATTCTAGGAAGGGGCAGCAGTGTAAATAAACGTAAATCGAGGTGGTATTTTGATCTCAACCTAGATAAAGATAAGGGTAATACCGTAAATAAACTGAAAGCGAGAGATGCGGGCACGTGAGACGAATTTCTGACTCTCCAATCGACCTTATCCACCTTACGAGAGCTCAGATCCGAGCGCCACGTCAGACTAAGATCAACGGACGAGATCTCCCCTATCGCCTTTAAAAATCATTACTCTCTGCAACGATTTTGAGAAGAAAGAAAGAAACATAACTTGCGACCAAAACATTCAGATTCTTGAAAACTATTAGTGTTTGATTTGATTCTATGGGCTTACTAGATCATCTCTGGGACGATACCGTCGCTGGTCCTAGGCCAGAGAACGGCCTTGGCAAGCTTCGGAGACACCATACCTTCAGTTTCCGGCCTACCTCCGGCAATGGTACGCCGTGATTTTTGCAGTCTTGAACCAAACCTGTGGCTGATCTTTATTTGTAATTGAAAAAAAAAAAAAAAAAAAATCTTTAACGTGAAAAATATAGTATCAAATCATCAGTTGATAATGATATTTCATGGCCTGATGTTTTTAGATCAACCAGACGGTGGAAGCGTGAGATCGTACGGTGATGAATCACCGGAGGAGGCCGTGAAAGTGACACGTAGCATCATGATCATAAAACCACCAGGATACCAAGGCGGTTCAGCTCCGGTTTCACCCGCCGGTTCAACTCCACCTGTGTCTCCTTTCTCTGGTGAGTTTTTGTTATTACCATTTTGTTTCAGTTAATTATTTGGTTAGGTGAAATAGTAGCACACTCACTAATTTCATTTAGGGGTAGATTCGTCCATTCATTTGTAAATTCTGATAGGATGAAATACATGTAAGTGTACTTCTCTTGACAGTTTACACTATGTGACCACTTATGTGATGCATGCTTCTTGATAAGATGAGATGTGACACAGTGCAGTCCATCTATGAGAGCATCGATTTTTATTGTCCCTTGACTGTTGTATTGAATGAATTAGGTGAGCCGTATTGTTGTCACATGTTGTCATGCGTACGTAACATATCATTTTCGTGGCTGCTCATGACCGCTTAAATAGACTTGGTTTATAGTTTTAAAGATTGTATATGGTTTATGGGTTTGAAGTGAATGTATGAGTTTTATTACTAACGAGAATGGACCCTTTGGGATGTTAACGGAGCAAACGCAGGAGGAAAGGAACCCTTTCGGTTTAGGAGAAGGTCGGCTTCGGACGCGTTCGAGAAGGGATCAGGATCAGAGAATGGACCAAGGAACTCTCCTCCTACTTACGGCCTGTGATCTCTAACCCAAATCTCAAAAGACAGAAAGGAGAAGAAGCAGAGTAGCACCCAAAACGCTATCGTTTTGACGACACATCAAAGTGGTCCTTGACTCCTTGCATGCAGAGTTCGTGTTCCGTTTGTAGGCCAAAGAGATTACGTTTTGTGTGTGTGCGCGTGTATGAGTTTGTTTAGTGTGTTTGTGAATACGTCTCTGTTTTTCTCTTTTTTTGTTTCATCTCGTTTTCGCAATGCTTTTACGTGTCTGTACATATTTGCTTCAATGATAATAAAACAGTACGTAGATGCTTAAGATCACTTCTTTTTATCTACTAATCCATCCTTCAGTCGCATTATCTTTGGAGGCGTTTTTTTTTTTTTTAAAGGACTATATCTTACAAACTGCAATTGATTTTGACAATGACTAAAGTAGACGCTTTAACTTTTTCTGAATTGACACATTATCCCCAAACTAAAATTGGATCAAATTCTCTAGTGACACAAGTGGATTTTTTTTTTTCTCTCGTGACCCCCTTTTAATTTGTATTTATTTTACATTTAAATTTAATTCAAAAGTAGATAAAATAACTAAAAAACCTAAAGACTTCAACATATTTACGGATCCATGCCACTAATATCCAGATTCGACCCATGGTCCGATCCAGACCCAGCTGTTAACCTAATTTTTTTTCTTCTTCTTCTTCTTCCTTTTTTCTTATCCATGGATTCACCTTAAAACAAAATCCAAAATTTACTTCACATGTTCACTAATTTTCTTTTTCTTATACCAAATCGATCAACCCATAATCATATTTAATCAATTATATCTTGTTTAAAGTCAAATTTCATCATTTTCGTACGAGATTCATAACAAAGAAAAACGCAGAGTATTACTGATACAACTAGTATAACTCAAACTAGTACAACTAAGATGACTCAGACTAGTACAACTAGTACGATTCAAACTAGTACAACTAGTATAACCCGAACTAGTATAACTAGTACAACCCGATCTAGTATGACTAATTCAACTAAAACAAACATAACTAGTACAAATACATTGAGTATAACGCATATAACTGGTACAACTAGCATGCATATAGCTTGTACAACTTTATAATTAATATGGTGATATTTGGTTTTTATTTCAGCATATGAATGATGCTAGAAAATTGGATGGTATAAAACCAATGAGAAATGTTGATCTAACCTTCTGTGCTTGCATGTGTCAAAATACATGAATAATTTATTTTCAATAATATTTGATTTTGATAATGATTTGCTTACAAATTATACTATTTATACTAGTTGTACTATTTCCAAAAAAAATTAATGTAAGAATCATTATGAGTTCGGAAAATTATGTATATGCATTCATGTTTGGACTACGAAAATAATCCAAGTTGTACAAGTAAACAAACCTTTAAAGTATAAGGTGGAACATAGGAACTTATGTGATAATGTAGTAATTACAAAAATGACTATTTAAAAATTAAAATAGTTAGAGAAAACATTATAAACCCATAGCCATTTGGTCAGTTGATTAGTTTTTCATATGGAAAACCAAATAAAATTTTTAATTTTTTTATAATGAAGAAGTTAAACTAGTTGGACCAATATTACGTATCTTGTATAAAATACAAGTTGTTCCAGTAGTACAACTAGTACAACTATAACGCATATAACTAGTACAACTAGGTTGGATATAACTAGTATTACTAGTACAAGTAGAACGCGTATAACTAGTACAACTTTGCAACTAATATGGTGATATTGGTTTTTGTTTTCAGCGTATTAGTGATGTTATAGAAGATAATGCATAGTCAATGAAAATGTTGGTCCAATCTTCTCCGCTTAGATGTGTCAAAATATGTTAATAGTTTGTTTTCTATAATATTTTATTTGAATAATAATTTTGTCTTAGTAGTCGTACTAGTTGTACTATTTAGGGGAAAAAATCATCTTCATTATGTTCTTGAAGCCGAATAAGGCAACTACAAAACAACAAAAAGTTATAGTATGTTCAAATATGTTTTATAATACCCTATACTATAACTATAATGAATATAACATGTATAATTAGTAAAACTAAAACGCTATAACTAGTACAACTTTGGTTATATTTTTTTTTCAGCGTATGAATACTGCTAGAAAAGAGAATGATGTATAACAAATGAGACACATTATTTTCATCTTTCCTCTCACGCATGTCTCAAAATACATGACTATATTTTTTATATAATATTTATTTGGAAAATGTTTTGTTTAGTTAGTTGTATTAGTTATAATATGAGACTTGAAAAGTTTCAGTATAAAAAGATTTACAAGAATATACTGCAAAGATGATGTAGAACCCTTCACGAATTTGAGAGTGATGTATAAGATTTATATTTGGGGTACTACAACAATAATAGTCCAAACTTATGCACCTGGTTTAACTATGGTAGTAGTACCACATATACAGTAATAACATAGTGAAACTTGCATATTTTAATATGAAAAAATGACATACCAATGATTTTATATTTGATTTTCTATGTGCATTACACATACTTGGAAAATATTTTTATGTTATCCACAGAAATATACATTCATAAAAAATCAAAGCCTAATAGACACAAAAAGTAGATTAATATGATTGATATAAATAGTATGATTGAATGTTGGTGTTGCATTTGAATGTTGGTGATGCTTTGAAAGTGGACTAATGTTGTTGTTGCTTTTGTTTGTGATTTAGTAGTAATTTAAGTAGTAATTTTTTCTATGCATTTGATTGTGACAGATTATTAGTATAATTAGTACAACCAGGTTAACTATGGCAAAAATTTCAAATGGGTACAACTAAGACAACTATAGAAATGAAGGTACAACTATGATTGTTAGAACGTATAACTATGATTGTTAGAACGTGCAACACATCTAAAACGTGATAAACAACTAAAACGTGATAAATGTGATAACATGTAGTTGTACTAGTATTTTAGTTGTACAAGATTATAGATAGTTGTACTGGGTTTGGAGTTGTACAAGCGTGTACATAGTTGTATTTTGATAGAGAATTTGAAACTTTTAGTTGTACCACTTGGTTAATATATATATTTCAGTTGTACTACTTCCATTTATTTATGTGTCTATGTCCACATATTATGGAACCATTAATTTTGTTAAAATATATTACTTGTATGTTTTTCAAAAATACATTGAGCAAACAAGTAAACAAACCCTAAAAGTATAAGGCAGATAACAGAAACTTAAGTGATATTGTAATAATTGCCGAAAAAATATGATCAAAATTAAAATAAATAGGATTTACCTTTCTAGTGACATTCCAACTTGTTTTATTTATTGTTGTTTTCATATAGAAAGCCAAATGGGAAAAATTAAATATATTAATAAAGAAGTTGTTCCAGTTGTACTGGTATTACAATCTGTAGTTGTACAAGTTTTCATAGTTATACAAACTAATGTAGAAATATGTAAGAGTAAGTCACCTCTTCATAGCTTCTCCTCGTAAGCACTAATGTAGAAATATGTCGATCTTTCTGCTTCCATCGAACTTCATCCCCCACATCTGAATAACTACCCCCTTGATCAAAATATATCACCACACGTCCGTTATTATCCATATTTACCTGAAAAGCATAATAAACAACATCACCAATTAATAGTTGTACTGGTTGTACTAGTTATACACGCAGCAGTAATGATATTCGTACTAGTTGTACCAGTTATACATGTTTTCATGTTACACTCAATAAAACAGTTATACTANCTCTGAAAGACAATCTGAAGACAAATAAAATTTGATGAAGAAGAAGTTGTTTGGTGAAGAATTGAAGAAAGAGATGGTTGTTGTCGTGCATTGAAGGGGAGGAGGAAGATATTGTACGTAAAAGAGAGGAGAGAGGAGGCCCAAATCGTGTGGCTTACAAAGCTTTGAGGGTTTTTGATCTAATGGTGTGTGTTATTCACTCATTAATGGCATTGTTGTAATTTCAAGTCTCTTGGGTCATGAAGAATAAAATGGGTTGTAAGAGAAAAGAGAATGAGGGTTGTGTTCCATTTGAGATTAAAGTCCACTAAAATTCTAACTTGGAAAAATAAAAAAATTGACAAATGGCCTAGTGTGTTTTTTTTTTGAGGAAGCTTACACGGCCTATGATGTGGATAGTATATATGAGATAACTTATTTTGAACCATACAATATTCTTTGACAAAATTAAAGTTCAATCTGACTGACCATTGCACAGAGTGAAGCATCCTTCTTTGCAACACAAAGCACCTTGTTCCGTAATACCTTGCGTATATTTTGTAAAGCAGTGCTAATAGTTTGAGGTTGAGGTGTTGAATAACTTAGTAATATTGGATTAGACTCAACTGTCCTAATAGCAGCAATTATTAAAATAAATTCAGTTTCTTCCGACCCAAGGCATATATAGGTCAATGAAGTTGCTGATAAGATTTAGGATTGTTCCAACTCATAAGTGGATTTCTATATTTTATGAACAAATTGTATCAATAGTTACAGTCCTTGGGAAAATTTGCAAACCAGAGATAGATATCACATGTGAAGTCACAAAAAAGAAAAAGAAAGTAACACCAATAATCACTAGACAAAAAAGACATCCCATATAGGAACCTATTTGAGAGATAGGTAAGCCGTACATGTCATCAGTTACCTCATCTTCATCCACAAACCTAATTTCTTAAACTTGAAGCCTTCCATGTCATTAATAATATATCATATGATTGTGTATTTGGGTTTTACTGTTATGTGTGTTAAAGATCAAAGATTCTAACAGTTGTAGATTCTGAATTCAAGGTTTGTTAAGCAGATTATTTTCATTGATTTTACGCCCTGCGTTCTAAGGTAGGAGTGAAAAAGTTTCACCATGTTCACTTCTTTTAGCTTATCAGATGAAACAATACTACTGATTCTTGAAACGTAGCAAATGCTATAGTTACGGTGACTTAGTCGTCATCTTCCAGCTCATGAGCATTAATCTTATAATGATTGTAGTGTATTTAAATGGTAATGCGACATGAAGTGAAGTCTTCGTGGTCATGTTCACCATTATTTCACCATTCTATATTTAGAAACAAGTACATTATTGGGAGCTCTATAATTATGAAGTGCAATAATAAATCCTGAATTTGCAGCAGATATTTTTGGGTTTCAATTATAGTTTACGAATCCACTTTTGTGGAACTATACAATGGCTGAATCTTTTCAATAAGTGCAATATCTTTAAAATCAATCATTCATTTTCCAAACAAGTTGATACAAAAAGAGTTTTTTTCGCTCAAGGGCAGTTTACGTGTTTTAATAACATTCAGAG